AGCCAAGAAGGCACAGTCGAAGTGGGAGGAAAGCAGGCCAGTGAGCCGCTGCAGAGGCCAGAGGAGGGCAGTGTTCGGAGGAGAGAGGCACCGGTGGGGGTCAGAGGCCACCAGGGGGCCAAGCCAGGTATGTGTTGTTGGCTTCTTCATTGGAGAAATTCTCAAGCACAGGGTTCACAGCTCAGTGGGCAGGTCTGATTGTGTGGCTCTGAGGATTGACTGGAAGGCAAGGACAAAGCAGTCCGTTTGGCTGCTTTGGAGTTCTGCAGAGGGTCTGGTTCAATGCCTGCAAATTTCCAACAAACAAATCAGACCCAGGACAAATGGCTAGAGCCATCATATCATGTAGATCCGTGTGAAAAGAATCCTTTTTATTTTATTTTATTTTATTTTTTACAAAACTGGTTTTAAAAAGTGTTCAAACTCTTTTGGAGAAGAAGGAAGAAGAGGCAGTCATTTCACTTTGGCTTATTTTCTGTCACCCTAGTGCTGTAACAGATCACAGCTAGTGTCACAAAGCTGAGTTCTTATTAATAGTGAGAACTGACTCCAAGCTCAAGGAATTTGGCAGCTACTTTGACAAAGGTTTAGTCTGCCGAAGAGAACAGCTGAAGTCATTTTAACATGATTCGCTGAATTACTGAAGCAAGCCTCACTTGTGTAGGTGGACAGGAAAAGCAGCATGCAGGCCTTATTCAGCCCACAAGCATTTTAGTGAGTACCTATTATGTGCTAGACCCTGAGAATGTACCAAGGAAAGGCTACAGAGAATACTGTAATATAACTTCAGGGTTAGACAAATAGACCAATGGAACAGAATAGAGAACCAAGAAATAGTACCACTTCTACATATAATTCATGAGACAGAGGAAGCATTGAAAGCTAGTGGGGGAAAGGATGGTCTACATATTAAATGAAACTGAGATAATTGGTTACCCATGTGAAAAAAATGAAGTTGTATCCCTGCTTCGCACCATATGCAAAATCAATTCCAGGCAAATTAAAGACTTAGAAAGGCAACATTTTAAAACATGTAAAAATGTTACAATCTCGGGGGGGAACCATTATTGCAAAAACCAAATAACTGCTAATTATAAATTAAAGGATGATAAAGTCACCTACAGTAAAATTTAAAACTTCTATTCATCAAAAATACTGTAGACAAAATAAAAAGGCAAGGCACACACTGGAAGTAGATATTTGCAACACACAAACTGATGAAATTCTTGTTATCTAGAATATATAACTTTTAGAATGAGAACAAGACACAAACAAGCCAATAGAAAAGTGGACAAAAGTCATGAATGACATGCCACAGAAGAGAAAGTATGAATGACACAGAAATACATGAAAGGCTACTTAAGCTTTTATCATGGAAATGTAAAGTCAAATCTCGATGAGATCCCGATTCACCCACGAGTTTGGCGAAGACTAAAGTCAGATCATGGCAAGTGTTAATGAGGATATGGAGCAACAGGAATTCTTCTCCACCACTGGTGGAAGCCTAATTGGCAGTGGCATCTTAGAAAACAACTTGGCATTTTCTAATGAAGTAAAATATGTACATATCCTACAAACTAGCAAACCCAGTCTTAGGTGTGTGTCCTAGAGAAACTCTTATGCAGTGTACCAGGAGCTATGATTAAGAATGTTTGGGCTGGGTGAGGTGGCTCATAGCTGTAATCCCAACATTTCAGGAAGTCGAGGCAGGAGAATCTCTTGAGCCTCAGAGTTCGAGGCTACAGTGAGCTATGATTGTGCCACTGCAGTCCAGCCTGGGCAACAGAGCAAGACCCTGTCTCTAAAAACATAACAACAATAAGTCAATAAAAACAATGTTTGTAGCAGTATTTCTGATTAGAGGAAAAACCTGTAAGCTATCCCAATGTCCATCAATAGATGAATGAATAAATAAATCATGGCATATTCATACGATGAAATACAATACAGGAATAAAAATACCCTATAGCCACATATGTCAGTATAATATATATGTTGAACAGAAAGGAAGCAATTCATAGAAGGGTTCACTGTATTAATTATCTGTTGCTGCATAACAACTTGCTCCAAAATTTAGCAGCTAAAAACAACAGACATTTACTATCTCACAGTTGCTGTGGGTCAGGAATTCAGGTGCAGCTTAAATGGGTACCTCTGGCTCAAGGTCTCTCATGAGATTGTCAGGCTGTCAGCCAGGGCTATCATCTCACCTCAAGGCTTCACTTAAAGAGCACCTGCTTCTAAGCCACTCATGTGGTGGTTGGCAGGCTGTGTCCCTTGCCATGTGGCACTCCACGGGATTGCCTCCCGACATGGCCAGTGGCTTCTCCCAGGGAGAGCGATCCAGAAGAGAACTAGTGAGAGATCATCCAAGACAAAAGCCATGATCTTACCATAACCTAACTTCAGAAATGAAAGTCTATCACTTCTGCCACACTCTATGTGTTAGAAACCAGTTACTGGGTCCAGCCCACACTCAAAAGGAAAGGATTGCAAAAGTGTGTGAAGACCTCAAGAGGAGGGGGGATATCGAGGCCATTTTAGAAGCTTCCTACCATACTCTTGTAGTATGATTTCATCCTTATGAAGGTCAGAAATAGGACAAATGAAATTACATATTGCTTAGGCAATCCTACCTATGTGGAAGCACTACGAAGAAAAAGAGGAAATGATAAACATGACATTCAGGGTAATGTTGATCCTGGGGTGGGGGGCGCGGAGAATGGAGAGAACACACAAGTAGATTCCACAGATTGGAGTTGGATGGTGAGTTCATGGTGCTTATTTTCTTTTTGTGTTTCTTGATGTCATTTAATGTTACGTGTAGTTTTGTTTTTTTCTCTTTGGTTTGGTTTTCTGTTGATATGATCAAAGTTACATGTGCATACACTGCAGAGTCAGTCCTTCTGTGGTATTTGCTGTCTTCCACCAGCTCTTCCCATTTACCCTTCTCCAGAGGCAGCTACTTTTACCTCCTTTTGCTAATTAGTTTTAGTATTTGCCTCCATGTCTGTGAGTAATATGTGTGTATTGCTATCCTTTGATGCTTTGGTTTGTTTAGGTATTACCTATTCCCTTCCCACTCTGAGAGATGAAAATTCAGCTCCCTTTCCTCCTCTCCAACTCTTCCTCACCCTTCATCTTCCTTTTATAATTATATCATAATTTTGGTTAAAGCAGTAATCAGTGTTTACATTAGTCAGTCAACACTAATTTGACTCTATTCATAGTTGAGCCGCCTTGTAGTAAAATATAACTTTTCCCTTCCTGCGGAACTTTTCATTTTTCGTGGAGTTGTTAATGATCATGTTTGTGCGTTTGCTTGGTTTTCTATGTATTTGTCATTAAATCAAGTGCAAACTCTGGCAGTTGTCTAAATCTCTCTTCAGGATGTTCAGGCACATTAGATTTTCTATCAATTTAATCTCCTTGGAAGTGTCTCCCAGAGCCTCTTGACCTGCTCCAGCCTGGACGGGTTGTCCTCCGTGCCTGGTGTGCACCTGTCCTACAGGGACCTCCCTATACCATCACCCTGAGCTCATTGCCTTTATCCCTTGTCTTTCTCCTTGGTTTACTTCTTTGTTTTGGTGAAGCATACCTCCTGTGGCTTCCTGAGAGAGGGTGCCTGGGAGGCAAACCCGTGACAACCTTGCATATCTGAAAATGTCTTCATTCCACCCTCAGACTGAACTAATACTTTGGTCGATTCAGATTTCCAGTCTCTGGTTTGGAATTCTGATTTGGAAATAATTTTCCTCCAGAATTTTGAAAGCTTTATTCCATGGCCTTCTAGCTTCCAGTGTTGCTGTCAGAAAGTCCAAAGCTGTTGTAATTTCTGGTTCTTCGTATCTGGCCTCTTTTATACCTTCCCTCAAAACCCCTAAAGCTCTGTGGGATTGTCTCCTTTCCCCTGGTGTTCTGAAATTTCACAATAATGTGCCTTGGTGTGCATCTATTTTCATCCACTGTGCTGGGGACAGTGAGCCTTTGCTCTAGAAACTCATGCCCTTAAGTTCTGGGGATTTTTATTTTTGAATGATTTTTAAAATAATTACTTCTCTCCTTCTTTTCCCCCCAGTTGTTTCTTTCTGTAACTCCTACTATTTGAATTGGGAGACTGATTCACTGATTTTCTCATATTCTCTTTCCCTTTCTCTCCTTTTAACAGATGGTGGGGGGTCTCGCTGTGTCCCCAGGCTGGAGTGCAGGGGCACAATCTTAGCTCACTGCAGCCTCAACCTCCTGGGCACAAGCAATTCTCCGGCCTCAGCCTCCAAGCAGCTGGGGGATACAGGCACGCACCACAATGCCCAACTTCATATTTTCTTTCATTTTCATTCTTTGTCTTTTTCTGCTTTTTGGGAGACTTCCTCGATTTATCTTCTAGCCCCTCTAGGAAGACTTTTTTCATACAACATTCCATTCTTGTCTCGTGGGTCTAGTATCTTACTTTATCTCTCTTACGTTAATTATAGGGTTTTTCTTTCAAGAGTTCTCTCTGTGAATGGTCTGTATTTGATCCAGAGTTCCTTCTTTTTGTTTGTTTAATTGACTGGTTTGATCTGTGTCTTTAATGTTAGAGACTCCTGGCTGTCTGGGGATTCCTGGTTGCCTGTTTATTTTTAAAAGTAGGGGACTAACAGTTTTGAGCTGTAAGGGATTTGAGGGAGCAAAAGTAGACATACGTCTCTACCATCTTTGCCAAGTCATATAGTCATTTGTATCTCTCATTTATTTCATGTTAAGAAGTGAAAAAAAAAATCCATAGTCCACACCCTGAAAGGTAAATCAGTAACTGTAATAACTACCCTTGAGCTCAAAGAAAAATTGTATCTTTTCCTCCTCAGCCTTTAAAGAAAAACATGGAGCTATCCCTCCCCCCCAATTTTCGATTGCAAAAAATAGCACGAGATTAGTATGTGAATTTGTGACATGTGTAAACCGCTCTAAAATTGTGAATAGGTTTAGAAACCTTTTCTCCCTCCTCTCTACTCCCACAGTCCTGAATCACCAGCCCAGCCTTCTGGCTCATCACTTCCTGCTTGGTGAGTTACATGCATGTCTTATCTCCATGACGATGCTCCAAGCCACTGGAGAGCAGGGTGCATGTCCAATTCATCTCAGCATCTTCTGTAGCCCCCACCAGAGGAGCGATCACTGAAGGCTGACAAACAACGAAGGACACTCTCAAGACCTTCATCTCCTCTGCTCAGCACACACAGTTAGCACCCACAGGAATTTATTACGGTGAATGAAAAAAGAAACCCACAAGAATATAATTTATATGTAATTCCACTTTGGTCTCTAATCTCTTTACCTTGGCATCCTCCCACATATGAATAGGATGCTCCATGATCCTAAGGGCAGTCAAACAGCCAGGGAGCGCGAGTTTAATCCTCAGGGTTTGCAGGGAAAAGAGGACTGTGGAGACCCGTGTGCACAACAAAACCCATGATGTGACAGAGCATGGGCTACAGATTGAACCCTAACTTCATAGTTAGGTATTCAAGGCTCTCCATTGCTTCTCCCTGGACACCTGCAAAGCTTCTAGCAGCGTTCCTTATCTGGGGCCTGACCTCTGTAGTCAGTCTTGCATGTAGAAGAATTTTCAGATACCAAGTGTCTCATGTCCTTTCTTTGTCCAAGAACTTACAGTTGATTTATTTTGTATCTGTATCAAATAGTTCTCCAGCCTAAACTTCAAGACATCTTCATGAATGCCTCACCACTCCACTGCACGTGTAAATCCATGCCCCTGTATTTTTCTGTCTATTGTTTCTCAGACTGATAACACCTGCGCCCTCTCAGCAACGATAATGGCCGACATTTAGTGAGCACTTACTTTGGGCCAGCCACTGTGCTGGTACTGCTTGTGGGTTATTTTACTTAATCCTCCCATCAGCGGATAAGGAAATTGAGTGACAGAGAGGGTACGTCACTTGCCCACAGCCATGGAGCTACTAAACGTTGGAGCTGGAGCTCCAAGCCAGGCAAGCCCAGCCCAGCCCAAGATCACTGGCTCAGCTCAACTCCTCACTGCTAAACTGCCTCAACCACGCTTCCTCAGACCTTACCCAAGACTTATCTTCCAGAAAATGTTTTTTTGGAAGAACTGAGGACCCTGGCTGTGACTCTACTACATTTATGTGTTGCCGGCTTATGGCATGGAGCTGCCTTTACGTCTTCTCCCTTCTGTGTCCCCTCCTACAGTCACTGAAGTCTTGCTTTAGAGAAGCTAAAGTCTGATGTTTTCACCACTGTCTCAGCACAGGGTCTGAGGGTCAGCGTCTGCCGCCATCCCTCCAGCCAGAGGGCAGCCCGCTGGGAGGGGAGGGGTTGCATTGACCTGAAGGCCTAGCAGGCAGAGCGAGCAGGCAGGGAGGCAGCTGCCTGTCAAAGGCCACAGCAGAGCTGGGAGGGGCTGCCACGCTGGGCCACAGTCAGGGGTAGACACAATCCCGGGAATCCGAGTTGGGAACCACCAGCCTGTGCTACTCAAAACTAGCCAGGGGAGCAAAGGCAGGCCCCGCTGGGGGAAATGAGGCCCATGCAGCCAGCCAGGGGCCCTCAGGGTGGTAACAGAGCATCCCTGGGGAGCAAGTGTAGCAGATGGAAAGGGCAGCCAAGGCCATCTCGTCAGCAGAGCTTTGGGGAGAGGGTATCTTTTCTTCAGATGTCCCCAGAAGTACCAGACACCCATGTCCTTGTGCAGACAGACACAAAAAGGCTAATGCCATGCCACCCGCCGGGTCCCCAGTTGCTGGCCAAGGGCTCAAGTGGGCTGGAGAGCCCACCACTGATGTGCTCACAGGGCTCTGCTGGGGCTGGGCTCCGGTGGGTGAGAAAGGCTGTGGCCTGCGTCTCTGTCCCAGCTTTGCACACCTGTTTCTTGCCTGGCCACCCCACCTCTGTGTCCTGTCTCTTCAAATACCCTGCTCGCCACCCGCAGACCACCCTTCCCAGCAAGCTGTGTCATCTTGTCATTCCTGTGCTCAAGAACCCAGAATCTCTTCTAAGGCCTCTAAGGCAAAATCCAAGCTGCTTATCCCAGAATTCCAGGCCTTCGTAAATCTGACCCCTGGTCTCTGAAGCCCCCTGGTCGCCTGCTACTAGAGCCCAGGCGATCTCCTCTCACCGAAGCTTCCTCATGCCAGTCGCTTTTGCCTCTGATGTTGAGTGAAACAGTGAAAGGAGCATGGGCTTTGCTTCCTGTGTGTCCTTGGGCAAGTCACCCAGTGTCTCTGTGCCTCCTGCTGCTTACCTGGGAAATACTTTAAAGGCTGTTTTGAGGTTAGAATGTTCGTGTACAATGTGCCAGCCACACAGCAGGTGCTCAATACATGCACAGTATCCATCATACTGTGCTCTTGCTGCTCCCTGACTTGATGGCCCTGTCTCCTTTCTGACTGGCTGAACTCCTGCCTCCTTCCAGGCCCATCTCTCGCTGCACCTATACATGCAGCCTGCCCTGCACGCCTCACTTAAGGTGGCAAGGGAAGGAAAAGCAGCGTTTGCCTATCACTCGCTGGGCACAGACCCTGTGGGGGCGTGGAGATCCCTGATGATGGCAGCGAATCCTTCCAGGGGCCTCCTTGTGCTAGGCCTGTCCCGGCACATTGTGTTCATTAACTCATGGAAGCCCTGATGGTAACTGACTTCCATAGATTCAGGTTCCTAAATGACTTTCTACTCTATCCAACCTAGTTGGTTTGGTCTCCCTGGCCCTTTGTTTTTAGCTTGCCCGTCCAGTGGCCTCCAAGTGGCTAAGAGGAGATTTTATCAAGAAGTGAAGCCCTACCTTATAAAATGAAGAGTCTATTGTGTGTTGTTCAGGCTGATCCCATTAGAGAACGGTTTGGAAGAGGATCCACCTTCACCAGCCCTGCCACCCAGCCTGCAACCAGCTCCCTTGCTGCACTTTGTATAAGCCCTGGGCTTTCATTAGGGTCTTCTGCCCAGAGCACCCATTCCTCTGGGCCTGCCTGGAAAATGCAAGCCTTGCTCTTCTGTGGCACCTCTGTGGACCCTCATGTGTTTGGGTCAAGGTCATTGCCCTCTGCCTCTATCCCCAGGGCACCTTGTCCACCCCCTGATTGCACCCCTCTGCAGATGCCTGCCTCCTTGACAAACCCCTCTCCTGGGCTGAGTCTCTGAGGGCAGGGGCTGTGTGGTGTTCATTTCTGTATTTCAGTACTTGGCACAGAGCCTGGCATGCAGCAGGCCTTGGTGTTGGGGTTGAAGGGAGGGAGGAAGGGGATGAGGTGGAATAGGCATCCGGAGAGGAAATGGTGCTGATGTTTCCAGCTGGTTCATCTCAGGGCGGGGCAAGTACAAGTCCCTGTCTGACTCAGAAAGGGAGGTCTCTGTGGACACCCCAGAGCCCCCTCTAGAGATAGCTCCACGAGAGCCCCAGCCACCACAGCTTCCCTCTAGACCCCCCGGGAGATACCAGTCTTTGAAATGCTTCAACTTTCTTAGAGGAAATCGCTGAGTATGTTTGATAATTTTTTTTTGACATTTTCCCTGTTCAGGAGCTTGTGATTTCAGATTAATCACATCCACATACATTTAGACTGTCGGCTTGGAAGGGAAAATTTGAATTTTATTACTGCATGATTTCATCCAAAGCTATCTTACCAACACTAAAAGGGTGTCTACAATGAGGTGCAAATCATGACAAAACATTTTATCTCTGGGACCAAGCTCATGGCAGGAGGCCAACGGGATGGGGGGCTGCAGGTGGGACCTGGGTGGGCACAGTCGCAGCCCCTTCAGTAGCCTAAAGAGATCTGTGTGAGCCACTGTCACTGCTGCCTCTTCCTCAGCCAAATATCTCATTTCCTTCCCCCCTCTAGGTTTGCCCACAGCCCTTACTCCCGGGAATGGCTGTTCATCAACTAACTCCTGTCTTCCCCTCGGCAGGTACCATGACCAGCAGGACGTAACTAGTAACTTTCTGGGTGCCATGTGGCTCATCTCCATCACATTCCTTTCCATTGGTTATGGGGACATGGTGCCCCACACATACTGTGGGAAAGGTGTCTGTCTCCTTACTGGCATCATGGTGAGTACCCGCCTCTGCCCATTCCCTACCCTCAAAATGTGGCAAAGAGCAGAACTCTTTCTTGCAAGCACATAAGGGCCTTCCTAGCCATAGCGTGGGGGGCGGCTGTTAGTTAACCAACCTGCGTGTGTGTCCCCTATACATAAAAAGGCAGGTGGGAAATCTGCAATGGTTTCTCACTTTTCAGTTGACTTTTCTAAGGTAAGAATGAAACCTGGACTCCTGGCAGTTAATGGTCTATTCACAGCTCCCTCAAAATCGGCTGGGTGAAGCTGGTCCTGGCCCGATGCTCTGATGCCCACTGCACTGCTGTGCAGCCCCCCAGTTTGCTCAACTCCAGTGAGCATTGGGGCTTGCAGTTTATTGTTCTCCTTCCTGTTCCCTTGGTCCCACAGACCTTGGCACCATTTCTGATCATGTTTAGCTGGAACTCACAGAAGCAGGGACTGGGGAAAGAGCACTGAGTTGGCTTTTGGGACCTGTGTCCTGGACAGGGCTGGCCATGTGGCTCTGGGCTGGCTCTTGCCTTTCCCAGGCTTCTGCTTCCACTTCTGCCTATGGTGGGGCTGGGCTTTAAGTGCCAAGTGCTTTGCAGGACTGGCATTCGGCAAGGCTGTGATACCATCCCCAGGTGCCCAGCAGGTGTGCTGTGCCCTTTCAAGGTGTATCTCTCTTGCCCAGTGCCCTACGACCCACACTCGACACTCTTGCAGAGGCACACGCTCTCGCCTGTCACATGGCCACCACAGTGTGCCTTATGAGAGGGACGTGGGGTCTGAGTTTCTGCTCACTGTGGACCCTGGGCCAGGCACTCTGCCTATTGGGCCTGAGCATCTTCCAGGGGAAAGTAGAGATGGAGGGCTTGCCCTGCCCTCCCCACTGGCTTGTGCAAGGACCAAATGCAATGATTTATGTTCAAGTGCTTTGAAAACGAGAAGCGGTCACACACCGGTCAGTGTTGGTGGTGTCCTCAGTGTCCTTCAGTTGCAAATTAGTGAAGTGTTCCCTTGGTCTTGTTGCACTTCGGGTCCAGCACAGGCAGCTACTGCTCTTTGGCCTTCGTCCTGGAATCCTAGAACAGTGTCAGAGCAGGGTTGGACACTTTTTTCAGAGGCGGAAACTGAGGCTGAAAGAGGAAAGCACATCTAAGCCTGGGTAGTGCTGGGGGAGGTGGCGGGGTGAGAAGTGGACAGGCCATTGGTGGCGTGGCTTTGGGTCTCCATGGCTGGAGACTGCAGCCCTCCCAAGGACAACCCCCGCTCCACAGCCCCCCTCACACCTTTGTGAAAATCCTTCCTTGCAGTGATCCCTCAGATTCCATTCGTCACCCCCATTGCTCCCAGAGAGATGAAGACCCTCTTTCTGGAAGGGCAGTGACCGCTTTCTGCAGTGGAAAGGGAGGGCTGCAGGTCTGGGGGCTGCCCCCACTCCCCACCCCAGTCTGCCTCGTTGGTTTCCTGGGGCTGATATTGGTGGACCAGACAGTCAGACCAAGGCTTGGGGCAGTCGGCCTGCTGAGCAAGAGGGGCCAGGCTCTCTCCTCCTTTCTGACTCCAGTCCAGGGCAGGTCCCTATTAGCAAGCAGGTCCTACGACAGCAGCTAATGACAAAAAGCTTAGCGCTGGGGTTGTGATAAATCATGGGTAAGTGCAAGGCTTTAGAACAAATATCTTCCATCGGTTAGTAGGAGCTTGTCTTGGCATAGCACCAACTGTCATGAGGAAACCAGGGAAAGATGCTTCTTACCAGAAAAGAATGAAATGCCACCAAAGGCCAAAGCTTTCCTTCTTAGAGCCACTCCTGGGGTGTGGGCTTTGTGCCTCAGAACCAGCTGTCAGCCAGGGCTGGTACAGAACAGGGTTGCCAATAGATGGATGGGCCCTGCGGGGAGCCTCTGTTATTTTAAAATACCAGACTTTCTCCCTCTCAGCACATAGCTGTGCCCCATCCAAGAAGCAGCACCCTAAGGACCCGGCTTCCTGGTTCCTTCGCATCTCCTGGCTCTACTCTGGCACAGCTGAGCGGAACAGGCGAGACCCTTGCCCGACCCCTGCCTCTCCTTGGGGTCCGGGGGCTGCTCGTCTTTCAGCACCCCCTTTTGCTGTCTGGCTCTGCAGCGCTCCCCCAGAGGGAGTGTTCCATTCCCTGTGGATTGAGGTGTGATCAAAGTGGAAAGAACAAATGGATGAGGAGGACCCAATCCAATCCCCACCTTCCATATGAAAAATACAGCCCAGGCCTTGCATCTCTTTTTGTACAAAACCCTGTGCATAAATATATACCTTTCTATATACGGGAACAGGGAGGTTTCCTCTATTCCTTGTCAGTGTTTTTCACCCAAATTAAAGTCAGTCGCCTCACTCTGGGGTCAGCCACAGTGAGGAACCCTGGTGGCATTTTTCTAGCAAATGTGATTTTTCTAGCTGAGTCACTCCTAGCCAGGGTTTCACTTTGCTGAGGATCCTTTCCCCTCCTCCTCCCAACCTCCCAACACTATGTATAGCTCCCAATTATTATTGCAAGTGCCTTTACTAAAGGTAGGGCTTCCTGTTTGGTTACCATGGACACCATGAAGGCCAAGGCAAGGCCTGCTTGGGAAGGGAAAGGAAGGATTTGTGTGTGTGTGTGTGTGTGTGGCCTGTAAATAGTCTTAATCATTGTTTTCTCTTGGCAATCCCAGTAACGATGTAATTATCAGCCATTAAGCAGGGTATATAATTGTCTGAACAACTTGCCGTGGCTGGCACAGACCTGGTGTGTTTGAGAGATTTCACCCACAAAAGCAGCTACATTAAAGTCCAGCATCTTTCCATAAGGATTTTTCATGATCACAGTGACAACACAGTAGACAGAAAGCTGTCAATATTTAGTATCCAGAATTGGAAATGACAATGCAACGTAAAATATGTGCAATGCTGACCTTCTGGTTCTGCAGGCATCTGGAAGACCCCAGAGCCCCTCAAGGCTGCTTGGCATAACTTTGTTTCAATCTAGCGTCTTTCTAAAGCTGGACTCACTCTGTAGACCCTTCATGAGTTATGGACAAACAGGCAAAAGCTTCCAATGTCTGCAGGGACGCTGAGCTTTTCCCCAGTGGCCTCATGAGAGATGCGTCTGAACTGCCAAGGGAAAGTGATGATGAAGTAAAAGGTAGCACAAATTGAGTCATTTTGGGAGGAGGCAAAAAGAGGGCTCAGCAAGACATCTGCTTAATGTCAGTTTTAGAAGATGAGCTTCTCCCGAAACACCTTGGTTTCAAACCAATTGATGTTATTTTAGTTGTTGCATGGAATCTGTTGCAGAAACAGAATCCAACTGTAAATCCTCCAGGCTTCCCTCCTCCATTTGTCACTTTCATTTGTGTTTTATTTTATTTTATGCTTCTTTAGTTAAGAACACCTCATACTTTTCCCCTTGGGATACTTGTTTTTCCAGCTTCTAAGGTTTTCCAGCTGGAAAATGTTTCTTGAAAACAAGAGGTGGGAGGACCGGTGTGGAGGAGTCTCGGTCCCGATTTGGGTCCGAATCTCTAGAGTTAGGCGTGTTCACCCCGTCCCAGCCACCCTCCCTCCATGCACTCGGTGCTCCCTGCTCGCCCACGTGCCTTGGGAAGTTCCAGTTCATCAGAAGTAGACCCCATCTCCTCCCCTCTCCCCACAGAACTGGAAGTCGGACAGAGCAGATCCAGGGACTCTAATTTTGTCCCCTGTGGTTCAGGACTTGGCATATCTGAAAGCAAAAGGCTGAGTCATGGCTCTTCCCCCCAGTCTGACCCCAGGGAAGTCATAGCAGCAGCTGTTTACCCTTTCCCGTCCTGCTTCCTCCCTCCTCACACACCCCCTCTGCCCACCAGTCATTTCCAAGATTCCACGGTTAGCCAGGCCCTCAGCGATTTGTCTCTTAAAACTAACCTGCATCACTGCCACGTGACACAGCACTGCCAGGCTGCCCCTGTGGCCTGTCAGACTATTAACTCACCTAAGTGAAAGGGCCCAGCATCCCAAAGGGGACCCAGGGGACAGGCGAGTCTTATACCAATTGAAGATGGACACAGCAGGGTGGGATCCCTTGGCACTTCCTTCATGTCCTCTAAAGGGCCAAAATGGACCATTGACTTCTGGCTCAAGCCTTAGGCTCCTTGTTCTTCCTTCCTCTCTCAATCCCATCAGCCCATCATTTTTTCTTATTCCTCAGCCTCCTCCTTCTCTCTTTACCCCCCTGACCCTTGCTGTTTAGGATGCAATACAACTTGTTCCCCATCTCATTCTCTGCCCAGCTTGACCTCTCCCTGCAGCCACCTTCCTTCTCTTCTCCCCTCCCCTCCCTCCCGGCCGTCCCCTCCCTTCCCTCCCCTCATCCCTTCCCCTCCCCTTCCTTCTCCCCTTCCCCTCCCCTCCCCTCCCTTCCCTCTCTTCCCCTCCCCTCCTCCCCTCCCTTCCCCTTCCCCCTCCCTTCCCCTCCCTTTCCCCTCCCCTCCCTCCTTTCCCCTCCCTTTCCCTCCCCTTCCCCTCCCCTTCCCTGTTCCCCTCCCTTCCCCCTCCCTTCCCCTCCCTTCCCTCCCCTCCCCTCCCCTCCTCCCTTCCCTTCCCTTCCCTCCCCTCCCCTCCCCTCCCTCCCTTCTCTTCTCTCTCCTCTCTCTCCGTCCCTCCCCTCCTCTTTCTCATGTTCCCATTGTTTTCTCTCCCTTCTTCATTTTCCCTCCCCACACGCCGCACAGTCTGCAGCGGCTCAGCAGTCTAGGCTTCAGCATTCCTCCACGACTTTCTGAAGGCTGCTGATGTCTGGCCCCATCTTTATGAGGTTGCCTCTTTAATCCAGGTTAGGTGTCATTACTGGTGACTGCCCCAATTACATCCAGTCCAATGGAAAAATGAAGCTGAAAGCATCCATTTAAGTTGGAATTAAGGGTTAAGAATGCAGCTCCTCTACAGAGGTTTTTTTTACTCACAAGGGAGTCATGACATCTTTATGTTGAAAGAAACTGGGAAGTGCCATCTAGTCCACTATCCTGCCTCCAGAGAGAAATTTATCTTCCTCATGTGAGACAGATGGTTCCTTAGATAAAACACTGTAGTTTCTAATTAAAAGCCCCCCTGCATTCAGCCAGTTAAAGTGCGGGCCATGGCAGGAGCTGTGAAACACCCCATCTAGACCCTGGAAATTTGGAATGGTGGATGATTGATTGTTGTGATTACATTCTCAAAGTAGCATGGTGCAGGGAAGCTCCCTCTTCAGGCCCATTGGACCTCAGCTTTCAGGGATGATTTAAGTAGAGTTTTGCTTGGGCCCAGCAAGAGGAGGGAGAATGGAGCCTGGGGAGAACCCTCTCCATCTGATGTTCCATTTTTAATGCTATGATATAGCCCTCTTTTTAGGCTTTCAGCCCAAAGTACTTTTGGAACTCCATATAAAGGAGAGGGATGACACTCTGTCCGGTGGAGGGGAAGGGAGCACACATCTTCCCTCTAGGATGGCTTCTTTTAAGCTATTTTTTGCTTTTGGAGGCCTGGCTAGATTGATTACAGCTACAGACCAGGCTGTGCAACTGCCCAGATCCTTTGAAAACTGGGCACAGAGTCTCCTGTAAGTCACAGAAGCTGAAAAAACACAGCCATCGTTGAACAAAAGAGGAAAATGAGGTCAGAAAAGGAAAGTTCACACAGACTTGGTTCTTTTCACTTTGTGAAAAGGCCAACCAATGTACTGAGAAACACTAGATTGTTTTAATGGGGACCCTTGTGGGAAACGAGGAGAAAGCATTGTGAACTTCAACCACATCGAAACTTCACACAGGCTAGCCTTTGTCAGCCTGTGGGATAAAGAGAGAAAGAGATTCTAAAAGAGAGAGTAGGGGATGGATCCACCCATATGCATTCCTTCCAAGTCGGTTATAGATTGTAGTACCTTTGAAAAACATTCTTTTCTGCTTCTCACACATTTTGTAAGACCTGATGAGCCAAAAATGTTACTGACAGATTCCTTCCAGTCTGGGACCTCATCTGCTAGACTGGGTTCTGTAGCAACTAGAATTACTGTTTGACATCTAGGATTCAGTTGTTGGCTTTAGTAAGTTCATCATCTCTTTCCATGAGTGGCGGTCAGGGCAGCGCAGGGCACAGCGTGCAGGTAGAGGGCGATGGTCTCTGATGAGAGTCCGCTCGCAGAAGGAGGGGGCTGATTCCCGCTGCCTGCCAAAGAGCCAGGGGAGTAGTGAGTCTTCGACGTCCCCCTGTGCTCACAAGCCAACCAAGAAGCCCAGCGAAGATGATTTTAAAATGTGTCGGGAGAATGTTGGAATGTGCAGGGAATTCCCTGCTTATTTCCCAGACAGTCAAGCATGCACCCAGAGGATTAGGACAGAAAAAGTGAGTCTCACCATTCTTGGGGCTCAGCAGAGCCTGCTTCCTTGCCCACCCTTTCCCGGGCTCCCCTGGCATGGACCTACCGAGCAGACTAGGATCGCTGTTCCGGAAAATCCCAAGGGTCTGCTGCGGGCTCACTTAAAATCCTGGTTTTGATCTAGCAGAAGTGGTGTTGCGTTTAAAATCTCTGCATGGTGGTGAATTCATGAGCCTCCTGGTGAAGGCAGGAAGGAACCGATTCCTTGTGCTGAGTCATAGCGTAAACCCTCAGGTGAAAAAGCCCAACCGCAGAGCAAGCACAGTCACTGAGTGCATGTGTTCGTGCCAACCTGGGTACCCTCTGTGAAACAAGCCCTGGGGAAAGGTATTGGCTCTTCATTAGATTGTTTTCAGGAACACTCTCAGCCACTGACAGGTGTTCCATCTGCACCCCAGCTGATGTCCTGCCTGCCTTCCTCCCGGGCCCGCTGGTCTAGAGCTGGCAGTGGGATGGAGACCTGCCTGAGGGAGAGAGGGCCCGTGTGTGCTGGCCCCTCTGTCTTCCGCTCCACAGTTTGGCAGGTGGCCAGGTGCTTATCTGTTGGTTAAACCCCCCAAAGTCTCAGCACCACCCAGCATCCTTCTCCGTTGAAACTGGCTAGCTCAGCCTCCCAGAAGTCAGCTGCAGAGCACAACCCAAGGGGCACTGCAGACCCCTCTGTGGGTCAGGACATCAGAGTCCTGACAGATTTCGACAGATTTTGTGGCTTGGTCATGACCAGCCAGAGAGCTCGAGTTCCCACTCCACTCCCAGGAAACTACCCCCGTGGGCGCCAGGCATGTTGAGTCTCTCGTCTTGCCTCTTAATGATGTGTTATTTCCCCTCTGGTCCTCTTGATGTCCCCCCACAGGGTGCAGGCTGCACTGCCCTTGTGGTGGCCGTGGTGGCCCGAAAGCTGGAACTCACCAAAGCAGAGAAGCACGTTCATAACTTCATGATGGACACTCAGCTCACCAAGCGGGTAAGATGCTACACAGCCATGTCTTATGGGGGACTTAACACCACAGTGGAAGCCAATGAGAAAGCAAATGGTCCGCCAGGTGCTCACGCCTGTAATCCCAGCACTTTAGGAGGCCGAGGTGGGTCGATCACAAGGTCAGGAGATCAAGACCATCCTGGCTAACACGCTGAAACCCCATCTCTACTAAAACTACAAAAAATTAGCTGGACATGGTGGCGGGTGCCTGTAGTCCCAGCTACTCAGGAGGCTGAGGCAAGAGAATTGCTTGAACCCGGGAGGCGGAGGTTGCAGTGAGCCAAGATTGCACCACTGAACTCCAGCCTGGATAACAGAGTGAGATTCCATCTCAAAAAGAAAGGAAGAAAGACAGAAAGGAAGTGAGAGAAAGAGAGAAAAGAAAGAAAGAAAGAAAATGGTCATGTCGTATGGGTTTGCACCAGGCTTTTAAAGGGCATGTTTGAGGGAGCCCCAGACACAAAATGGAAACAGCATCTTCACACGATGGGTTCCTGCCTTCTGTTCGATCGCTGTGCATGGTTCAGGCAGCCAAATAATTTTCCTGGTAATTTAATTAATAGCCTACAATGGTATAACCTGCCCCTTTGCCTGATGAAAATCACCCAGTATGAGGCAATGTTTTTTGTTTATGCTCAAATATTTTCAGGATTCTCATTAGGAAGGGCAAAACTATATTGAAAATGTACCTAAATTTAATTCCTTTGAAAAAAAATCATTATAAGAATCATCTAGGCCAGGCAGCGGCTCACGCCTGTAATCCCAGCAATTTGGGAGGCTGAGGCAGGTAATTAGATCAAGGATTGAGAGTCAGGTCCTGGTCCAAACATGGTGAAGCTCGTCTCTTTACTACAAAATTACAAACATATAGCTGGGGCATGGTGGCAAGGCCCTGTAGTCCACGCTACTCGAGGCTGAGGCGGGCAGGATGATATCACTTGAACCCCAGGAAGGTGGGAGGTTGCAGGACAGGATGCATACCCAGCTGCACTCCAGCCTGTGGGGACAAGAGCAAGACTCATGTCTCAAAAATACAAAAAAAAAAAGGCCGGGCGGGTGGCTCAAGCTGTAATCCCAGCATTTGGAGCCGAGATGGGATCACGAGGTCAGTGAGATCGAGACCCATCCTGGCTTAAACGGTGAAACCCTGCATCTACTAAAAAATTAATAAAACTAGCCGGGCGGGTGGCGGCGCCCTGTAGTCCCAGACTACTCGGGAGGCTGAGCAGGAGAATGGGTGACCCAGGAGGCGGACTTGCAGTGAGCCGAGATCCGTCCACGCACTCAGCCTGGGCGACAGAAGCGAAGACTCGTCTGCAAAAAGAAAAAAAAAAAAAAAAAAAAAAGGAATCATTCTAGTAGAGCCCACATTCCTAAATAAAATTGTTCATCAAAACGTCATCATCCAATTTTTCCCTTTTGGGTTTTCCGGGTAACGTTTCTCACTTGAACCGTTACGAAAGTAGTTACGGAAGATGAAAATCTGAAAATATGCAGGAATGGGTAGACCAATTTGCTGCTGAAAGTTGGATACCCCACTGAATTGTCAGAGACGAAAAGGCCCATTTAGAAGAGACAGATACAAGCCTTCCAGAATAACAGCAGGCCAAATGGGCAAGGCAGGAGTTGTTTATTCAAGGACAGCTTTTATGGAAAATTCTTTAGAACTACAGCCTGAAGGAAGGTGAGTAAGATGATTTCCTGCAAGACTGTCCTCTTTCTGAGACGAGGCAGAATTAAAACCCTGTGTCCGTGTCTTGGCCTCCATAGTCTTTTTCATTTAGGACTAAAGTAGGTTAAGGAACCCTTGAGCAACCAAATGTTGCTTTGGGTTTTTGAAAGCTACAGAAAATATTCAGTGATTAATGTTGCATCGCAGCAACAATGTGTTAGAAATAGAGACAAAGGCAGGAAGGAAGAACAAAAAGAGAGAGAGAGAATGACAGAGGGAGCTGCGAGTGAGCTCTCGGGGAAGGCAGTGGGAGAGTGTGCAGTGGCCAAGGCCTCTCCAGTTTCTCAGCAGAATTATTTATGGTGTTTGATTGTTTGGTCTTTGATTACATTTATCGGATTTTGTAAAGAGCCTTCACAGATGTTAAAAGGAACTGGTACAGGCAAATATTCTTATGTTGTTGACATTCAAGTATTTGTACTTGGTACATCACGGCCCTGAGCTATCAGCTGCACCAAAAAAAGCCATGATTTGTCACATGACGATGGCAGTGATTGAAGGCTGTTACCACAGTAAGGCCTGCTGGGAACTCTGCCACTTGGCCACTCTCTTTCAGCCCCCTCTAATAATGGGTGCAAAAGTCATGCTCGGTATTGAGGAAATTACTCAAGTTATTGAAACACCCAAATGCAAATCCACTTGCATCTATTTTCCTGAAGCAATTTACTGAGGTTTCACTGAATTGAAACTACATGCTGGAGTGAGGGCAGGGAGCTGTTCTGCCTCCAAAGCCTTCTCATAAGCTGTTTACCAAGAGTAGAGACATTAGCAGTTTCTCTGTTTATTCTGGTTTTCTTTTTGAAGCCAAGTATATTCTTTGTATTTGGTGTTATTCCTTTGTCCTCTCCATTTTCCACCAAGTAAATCAGACGCTAAAGGAAAATAAAGCTGAGGAAAGCCAGCTCCTTTGTATGCCAGGAAAATAAACAATTTTTCTGCAATATAATTGTAGAAGATGAGACTGTGGTTGCTAATTTTAATCTTTCAAAAATGATTCCCTAACATCCTCCTCAATTCCACTTACTTCTTGAAAAGTAGGACTGAAAATCAAATCAACAAATATTTATTGCTCATCCATGAATGTAAGGTAGCTTTTTAATTGAATAACATCTCATTTTTCTGAGAACATTTAAATCTGTTGAAATGTCCCTTTAATATCTAATATCTTTTCTCAAGGAAATAAACAACACAGGAGGGATGGTTCTTACAGAGAGAAGATTTTCAAAGCTGGCAGGACTAGAACTTCTAAAGGTTCTTTTACATAACCTTAATTGAAACGAAACTGGATGTGTGCATCCTTGGCCTGCTCTGGTTTGAGCTGACTTTGAACTGCTCCCAAGAGAACCCCACCTTTCTTCCCCTGGGGATGCCTGGCCTGCCCTCTGTCCTCTCCAAATGGCCCATTGTGTCCAGCCGGAGTGGCTCATTGGTCAAGAAGATGCTAAGCAGCTGGGCGCGGTGGCTCACGCCTGTAATCCCAGCACTTTGGGAGGCCGAGGCAGGTGGATCACAAGGTCAGGAGTTCGAGACCAGCCTGACCAACATGGTGAAGCCCTGTCTCTACGAAAAATACAAAAATTAGCAGGGCGTGGTGGTGCACACCTGTAATCCCAGCTACTCAGGAGGCTGAGACAGGAGAATCACTTGAATCTGGGAGGTGGAAGTTACAGTGAGCCAAGATCCTGCCACTGCACTCCAGACTGGGCAACAGAGCAAGACTCTGTCAAAAAAAAAAAAAAAAAAAACTCTCAGATCAGACATGATCCTTAGAAACTCTTGGCCGGGCACGGTGGCTCACACCTGTAATGCCAGCACTTTGGGAGGCTGAGGCGGATAGATCACGAGGTCAGGAGATGAGACCTTCCTGGCTAACACGGTAAAACCTCGTTTCTACCAAAAAAAAAAAATTTGAAAAGCCAGGGCATCAGTGGCAGCGTGCCTGAGTCGCCAGTACTGGAAGCGGCTGAGGCAGGAGAACATTGGCTTCCAAACGCCGGGAGGCAGGAGCGGTTGGCAGTGAGCCGAGATCACGCCACTGCACTCCACGCCTGGGTAACCTGAGTGAGACTCCATCTCAAGAAAAAAAAAAAAAAGCAGATGCTACACGCCTCAGTCTATTTCATAACCATCTCAGTGGAATTCTCAGAGAAAGATCCACATGAAGGAGTTTTAACTCGTGGCATAAATTTCAACACGTCTTCGGAGTGAAACAATTCGCAGATTTTGACAGACCAGATAAAAGCAGTCTCTTACTGGTATAGCTGCAACTTGATGCTTAAACCATCCTAAGCGCAAAATGACAAAGGATTATAGGCTATCTAATCATAAAAAATACCCAAATATAGTTCTAAGTATTTATTCATCCTGTCTTCTGCTCTACAAGAGCTGCAGCCTACGCCTTTGGCCATGAGAGCGCAGCACCAAATTCATTTTTATTTATTTATTCTAATTTGGGGAGGGAAGAGGGTCCGACAACACTGGTAGAACTCAGTTCTGGGTTTTCTTGAATCCCGTGCTTTACATCTTCTTCC